CCCCCCCCCCCCGGGGGGAAGGGTCCCCGGTACCCATTGGATAGGAAGCTGGGTGGGCCCAAGAACCGGTCTCGAAAAGAAGAAAAATCCTCTGCCCCCGTCGGGGATCGAATCCCAGTCGTCCATCCCGTAGCTAGTCACCACGCGCTCAAAATAGTTTGTAATAAAATTCATTTTTAATAATTTATATCAAAACCTACAAACCACTTGGTAGATGTAATATCTGAAGAAAACAGCAAAGTAACTAAACAAAAGTCAAACAGAACCTAAGCACAGAAAATCGGTGGTGACGATGACGAATATACGCGCAGTTCAAGAGGCGATCTGTTTGTCAGGTCACACTGTCGACTTTACTAAACACAAACATGAACAGTTGTTTTCGGCATTAAGTATTATTGATGTCATATTTACAAAGCCCCGAAATCAGACATTCTTTCTGCTTTCGGACGCTTGCTGTCGTTATGTTTTAAGCATTTTCTCAGTCTTCTTTCATTCATTTACTTGTTGTCGCCCTAGGCAACCGCCCATTTTACCTAGTGGTTGAATTGACTGTACAACCAACCTTTAACCCACGATTTAATACTTTGTGTTGTAACAGGGACTACGGGTCTAATGCTCACTTACCTCTTCTTCTGATTCCGCTTGTGTTTCTTGTTGTCATCTTTGTTCACGGAAGTTCCTTGCACGAAGCACAGCATTACTAGCTACAAGAGCGAGTATGTTCCACATGCGAACCAACCACGGGACATTAAAAATATTAAGAAATACAACAAACAAAATAAATCTATGCACAAAAGGAAATGCCAAGAGTCAAGGAAAAATTGTGAAATGTTTAAGCTACTTGAAGCACTTTCACGTGAAGAAAAAAAAGCAATGATAAAAAAAGAATTCAACACCCATTCCTATTGAAAATGTTAGAAGCCAAACACGAAACACAATACGTCGTTAGCAGAAAACACACAAAGCATCACGTAAAAGGAGAGGAACAGGTAACATAAACTAGTACCCACTTCAAAAATAATTTTTAAGAGTTGGCTTAAAAACGTAAGACACCAAAGTAACTACTCTCATTCTGTTCCAACTTTACTCACGTTTGAAAATTCGCGTCAATGACCTTACGCCGGATTACGTACGCACAGACATACGCATAATAACGACTCACAAACAACACAACTATACCACAGAAACACAACAAGTAACAAGGACTGCCATTAAAATGCATAAATAAAAGCGAAGAAAATCATACTTTGGTGCTGCACTATGCTGGTTGACACATATGATCGTAAACACAAAGTGAAATAAGCTTGTTTTTTGTATCTGATTTGAAGCCCTACTGAACTGACACCATTCGGAATTGCTATAAAACACAGAAAACAAATGACAGTTGCAGAGCGGCCTGCTCCATGCAGGGCAACGCGTCAAAACCAACCGACACACGCGCTCAGCGCTCGTCGTCTGTTAGACGAATGTGCTTGCCCTGGACTGAGTGTTCGCATTGAAATTGCTGCAGGCGTATAACGGGGCCGGCCTGTCTCTTTCCTCACGGCGCACGTCTTGAATTCTCGATCTAGCAGCCTCGTGGCGTAAAAGACTCCAGAAAATTAACGTGGTACACGTTCGTTCGGCAGCCTCTCGCTTTTTGCACACAGCAGCGCTATACACCTATGAGATGCCTGGTTCAGGCTCAAGGATTCTGGAAATCTTATTGAATATGCCAGGTCTTCACATCGCTCCATAATAAGCCATATCTTGGTTCAGAAACTGCTTTACCTTCAGAAACGAAAAAGCTTATAAAATATGAATTCATTTGCTAATTAAATTGTTTTTCTACAGTCAGACTTGAAGACGGAAGCTTTAAATCAGAAAGATTCTGAACAGGAAATTACGTAAAAATAAAGAGATACCTGCTGTCTCGAAAATGTAGCACGCATAATACGTTGATAAAGTGAATGATATTTCTCGTTCATAAAATGTTGCTGAAGAAACAAAAGTTACATATTCTCTTCCATATATCACTATCCACATACTTCGGTGTCAATTTACAATTGATCTTGAAAGGAGTTCCACGCGGACACTTTGAAACACATGCTGAAGTAGAATAATATTCAACTACACAGTTTAATCGAGCATTTGTGCGAATACATCATGTGCATTGAAGAAAGAAGTACGTATGCCCACACCAAACCTCGAACTAACGAATGTGGTCTTTACATCAACGACACCTTCTTGTGCTAGCAACTTGCCTATTGGCGGATGCAGATTTGTTTCACCGTAGGCCCACGTTCCGGAAATTCCGTTTACAAATTCATGTATTTCTTCAAATTATGTACACAGATTAAAGATGTCCTTACTTGAAGCATGTCTGGCACAAATAACCGTAATTAATGAGGGCAAAGGAAAGCTACATCTACATGCCGACAAGGACAAGGATGTTACTAGTGACTAGAATTATTATGTTGCCAGCTGCATGCGTACATCTTTTCTGGTTTGGGACTTCGCAAATTTTAAGCGCTTGAGTTTTGTTAGACAACGTGTACAAAACCGTTAGTTTCACAACAAAGCTGTAAATAAGATTATTTTTGGCAATAAGAGAGTTACAAAAACAAATTTATGCAACTAAAGAATGTGTACGAGGTGCGATCGAAAGGTTTCCAGACTGCGCCTATAAGAACCCGTACACTTATATCAGGTATCAAATTCATCCATCACCCTCGAAGTAGTTCCCCTGGGAGTGAACACAACGATCCCAGCGCCGCTGCCAAGCCTGGAAGCATCCCTGGAAATCTCTCTTTGTCAGCCTGTCAAGCATCATCTGCGATTCTGCCTGAATCTCTTCTATCGTCTCAAATCTCCTTCCCTTTAGCTGAATTTTCATCTTTGGGAAGAGGAAGAAGTCACACGGAGCTTAGAAAGGAAGTTGGGCATCATCGACAGAGGTTCGGTCATTTTTAAAACGTGAATGCCACACCAAAGTTTGCGGACTCCCCAAATGCTTGCTTTAGGATTTCATAGGTTTCCGTAGCCGTTTTGGCGAGTCTTTGGCAAAATTTGATGCACACGCCATTCCGAAATCGCAGGAGGGTCGGTGTAATGCACTACCAAAACGCCCGTAACTAAGAAACAAATGCTAATTCGATGATGCCGGCTGGCACACTGATTCACTATGAATGTAGGCCGCACCCCCTAGCAGCAGAAGCTCGTACTACATCCGGTTCGCCCTCTATTGACAGTCTGGAAAGTTTCCGATCGCACCTCGTATATAACGTAAGATTTGAGGTTTTCACAGCGGTGAGTATAGATCAAAGCCAACGAAAAAGTTGGGACCTGCAGTGCTCAGGCACTTGAAGAACGGGTCATTCCCTGTATCCCAGTAAGAGATCATATGAAGAAAAAATTATCTAGTATCAAAGTTGTTGGGGGGGGGGGAGTTATGATAACAGGTGGTAACGACAATCATAAACACGCTTACAGTCAAGTTTCTTAGATAAGGCCTCTGTAAACACGAAGCCATGGATTTGGACGAGATCAGTATTGTAATTAAAGGAGCGTGTGGGTGGGTTAGTTCAGCCTCAATTTTGAGCCAGTGAAGAAGCTGTTTCCCTAGTGCAGGTTCAAGGTGTACTACTGAAACTGAAAACATCTACTTTGTTTGAAAATGTCACCAATTCAGAGCACGTTAATAGACAAAGTTCTCAATTGCAAATTGTGAGTTCGTTTGTTATGTTTACAATTTCGAGAGAAAGGAAGCAAGGATTTAAATTGTATGATTTGAATCCTATTATTCTTAAAGCAACCCAGAAATGAGCAGCCGAAGTGACTGTATCCTCCAAATTATATATATAATCTTGACATTGTTCAATCTGGTATATCAGCGTATTTTTAAACGCCACACCAATTGGGGACTAAAAAATTTACAAATGCATCATTGGGCACTTGTAATGAATCGCCGAACGGTGAACAAATTCCATGTCACGGGCAGACAGACACACAACCTGAACAAAATACTCGCGAAATTAAAACAATCAACAGGTTACAACGGAAGCCTATCAACTTAACCAACAGTTCTTCACACTTTGTGTGTTAAATGGCAGAACACGGCAAACAATCTCCGAAACCTAATGCAGCATCACATCATCGGGGCACACAAAAAATCAAGATACTACCAGTGACATTGTTTCGAAAAATGCACAAAAAACTTGGTATTTTTTAAAATAGCTTTTTAGTCGTAAATAAGTAAATCCAACTCCAACATGAAATTCCAGACATGTAATGACATGTAAGACTTGAGGTTCTCACAGCGGTGACGGAGGCAGTATGGTCTCTGAAACGTTGGTTAACATCGACCAGACTACACAGCGCAATAACCCAGAAGACGGATATAATGACATGATGGAGAAAATCGCCCCTTTTAGAGAATAAATGTTGAAACCACATTTATACTAATTTGTTAAAAGGGACAAACCCACACATCGCACTTACAAGGTTTACACAATTGTCGCTGAACACGGTCCTAGAGTTCTGAGATTACCACCCAACATCCTGAATTCGACACCACTGAATTAATTTGGGTTCACGAAAAATACGTCACTTTCAAATTACATGACGTCATTAATTTTACCCATGAAAGCTTTAGTGCTACCACGAATGGTAATGAAAAAACAGGTGTGCGCATGTGCAAAACATTGAAGCCCAGTTCACGAGCAATGGAGTAATTTAAAGGACCTGAAATTGAAATACACTTTGGTAATAACACTGATGAAAGAAGTTAAAACGACAGTGGTACAGACACCTGTAATGAAGCAGATGATAGTGGTGAAACGTCTGATCTGTCTTCGAAGCCCGACATTACTCATCTGAAGATGAACAGTGGTGAAGGTATCTGGTTGATACAAAACAGTCTTTTTCATTACATTTGAGGTGGTAGTTGCAGGAATTAACACCTCTTATGCGATCCGAGGATTCAGTGTCGTGTTCACAAGAACCTACATCCGGAGCCACTTAAGTCCAATCCACACTATCCTACTATTAAGATCCACCTTAATATTATTACCCCATCTACGGTTAGGTTCTTATATTATTTGTTTAATAATGTATTTGTGGTTTACTTAACGACGCTGCCAGAAACTCAGACCACACAACGTCTAATTAAAGAACAACGAATTGAAACTGAAGTTGATGGAAGCGGTCATTAATTAATTCAAGGTGGTGTTGTGGCATTTGCATAACTCAGTGGGCATAGCTGCTCTCTGAACCGACCTTCTGAATAGAGTGAAAGTGTAATCAAATTCTGTACTCAAAAGTTACGAGTAACATGAACATATGTTATGATAGATCTAGTGTTATGAACAGTTAGAATTTATTCACTCGTATTTTCTATTGTGATTACGTCCAGTTGTTGTTCAAAGTTTTTGTTGTGTTATCTTACGATGCGCTGATCATAATTCGTACGGTGGAATGCAGAGTTTTTGAATTTGTTGATTTGACGTTATTATATTTTGGTGTTAATTCTTGAGCTCGGCCAGAGGTTCTTCATAAACATCCTGTTGAAACGCTTACAGGAGAATGTGATGTAATCTTTGGTTTGTAAACATCGCTATATACATAAGCCCCAAAAATATGCATGCACAATGCTGACGTACGTACAGTTTGTGTGTATACTTCTTTTTTGGGACATTTGTTAAGGGCATTAACTGAATCTGGATCGAGTATATGTTAATCCATACATTTAATTTGATATATAAATGCAATAATCTATTGGCTTTCTACTTACTGGGGCTGCAGACGCACAAGTGCCTGTCAGCTGGCGTAGTTTTGTTTACGCTGTTCTCGTAAGTACTGGGTTTGCTGTGTAGTGCGGATATGGAAGGAGGAAGGGATAGCTGAAATATGGCAGTCGGATAGTTCCTTGTAACAGTAATTATATAACGTGTTGAAACTCAGATTATGACTATCTGTATGTATTTCGATCAAGCGCAAGTTCTGTTTGTATGTGAAACGGATTAGCCATTTTTTCAATGTGTTTTGGTACTTTCCTTTTTAGCGATACTTATTACTTCCATGATGTCATCTATGGGTCCTTACGTATGTCTTGTGTTTAGGATGTGTTCTGTATATTTAGATGACTCTGTTGTAACGACTTTGCTCGCATGTGTTCTGTAAACCTTACTTCGAATGAGTGACCGATTTTAAACATGTAATCGAAAGGGCAGACTTTACATTTGAGTTTACAAACGCCCCCATTATGATATTTATTTGGTTTGTGATATCTGGGTTGTAAATGTTTTAGAATGTTCCATGTACCAAAGGTTACATGTATTTATTCTTGAACAATTTTGTCACGAATCGGGTTTCCTTCCGGTATACGTAAATATAGCTTACTTAATGTTTTTATTTTTACTCTATTCTTTGTATAATTATTTTGGTGGTTACGTGTCATATGTTATTATTACATTTATTAAGTAAGACGTTGGTATTTTGGTGTTTGTGTTCGTATGCTATCT